TAAATTTGGATTGTCCTATTTAGAATGTTAAATAAAAAATAGAAAATTAAATAACTACATCTGTTTTTGAAATACACTCCTTAATAGCAGCCTTAATAGCTTCCAGTTTTGAATTACTGTCCTCCGCCACCGTGGTCTAAATTAATTCGCAAAGCTACATTCATACCTTATTTAAAACTACAAGAAAACGTTTTAGGTGTGGAAAAGCATCCAAAGAGCTGTAATCTCTACCAAATGTGATATAACTCTTGAAATGTCAAAAATGTATACCACCCACAGGCCTGATCCTATCTCTAGAAGGCCGTGTTACTGACGTATCCCAGCCAATCTCACGTTTCTTCTTCCACAAATAAATATATCTTTAAAATAACCCAAAAAATATACAAACAATTTATCAGCGACCTCTAAGACTAATTGATCTAAGGCCTCCATGATAAACGGGACGACCTAATCACGCGCCATTCCATCCGCTAGGCTAACGAAAGTAGATTGCGCAGCTGACAAAGAGTCATGACCTTTATGCGTACAATAGATTAACATAAGGTATGTTCTCTAAGCCATCATATAAGCATATCTTAAGTTTATAGTTTGATTTAAAGTGTAAAATATTTCCCTAAATTTTGATTATCTCAGACTTTTTGTATAAGCTCATATCTACATTACTTGCCGCCTCTCGTTTTTTTATCCCAGAATTAGACAGTATAAGAACATCTCTTAAATATGTAAATATTTCATTAAAGATATTATATAGGAACTTTAATTACCAAAGCTCTAGTTGTTTAGGCGATCATAACAGATGGTTTATAAATATAATGCCACTTCAGAATTTATGAATTATCCGTTTTTACTTAATACAATATTAAATAACGTAATAAGGAAATTCTAATAGCAGTTGCGAAGTGAAATTAATGACTTTAGACAGACGGAATAAAAGGGCTCGACTGAGAGCATTTTCTCGGCAGAAGCAGATGTAAATGTTTTTTTAAGGTGGCATGAAGAAACCGGAGAACGAAGAGCTAGAAAGTACGAGCAGAATGTAGCAATCTTGATGCCGTCTGCTGTCACTCTCGATGCTTGCTACCAGAGATTCAGAAGCCGATCCAGCAAAATTGTAGCTTAGAAGGCCACACATATACTGGCTTCCTACTAAATCACTTTTCTAATCATATCTATTGTGCCAAATAAGGGTTATTTTCTCGACTATGGCAAGAAGTCTGCATCTCGCAGACCTAACTCACTGGGGCCACTTGAATAAGAAATAAAAAAATATATTTTTAGGAAACAATTATCCATTGAAGTTAATAGACAAAATCTTTCAGTTCTCATTAATAGAATGAAAAGAAATAATTATTTAGGACAGGAAAGGCAGATAGACCAATCTACCTAGGCCCTGGTTTTGCTGCTTTGTCGGCTTTAAAATGGTTGGGAACCAACTAAAGAAGATAAATACCAAAGCAACGTAGGAAAAAAAAATATTTTCGCTGGTTATAACTTCTTTGCAAAAATGTGCAGTTCAAATTTTTAAATTAGGATGTTTTTTTCTAAATTTAAAATCTCTATAAATGGTAGACATTCTAAGTCATCCTACCTAGTGACCAAACGTGTGCTAAACAGTTGTGGTATCTCTCCCTTGTATTACGCCTTCACTAGCTATGCCATAGTTTCCAGTGTGCTAACCCACAAATGTGGTGGTACTGCTTGCTTTGATTAAGATCAATGTTAAACCACATTATTTGTCGGTTGGTACAAAAGAGACTAGGGCATAGCAAGTCATAGACATGGTAATAGGGATAGTAACAGGATAGACGCGACGAAGACAAGAGCTATTGGCTGACAGTATGCCTGTTTTACCATAGATGTGGTCCATGAAGCAAAGGCTTGATCATGAGAATTACTCGGGGTCGCTACACTCAAGTTATTCAAACAGATGCAGAGTGTGGAAGATAAGGCCTCGTGTAGCACAAATATGATGACAGGAGTCGATTGAAATACTTCAAGCAGGGAAATAGCAGACGAATTATAAGGTGCAAGAAAGAGACTCTGATAAGAAGTGGGTTGACTTCGTTGTCACAGCTTGGTCTTGTGTTCAGGGAGACTATGTTGAACGCACCGAGTCCGAAGTCGTCTGCCATAGTAGTTGTCT